CCATAGGGAAATGTTCTCTGAGCCTCTCCCTACCCCAGAACCTAGCCCCTATTTTGTTTTCCCTCATAGCATCTTTCACTTTTCCTGCATTTCTCTTTCCTAAAATTGTAGTATAATAATTATTTATCTAAAGCTCATCTTCCCAAGCAGTTGGAAACATCCAAAAGGGCAGAAACCCATGTCTCTGTTGATGAGTGTTGGGCACAAGGTAGGAGCTCACTGCATAATTTTGAAGAAATGTCCGTGCTCCTGAGTCTTACATGGATATCCTGCCTCTCAAGTTGGAGTGGACATTTCTAGCTAGACTAAACATTTTCTCATTGTCTCCCTTCATAGTGCCTATGCTGGCGCTAATCACCCAAGTGCTGACCCTATGCTATCAGAGAAAGAAGGACGAAAAACAGAGGAGACACCTGAGATGGCAGATTGGATCTAACACTGAACACTTCCTGGGAGAAAGAGTTTTGGGCAGCTGGAGGCTGTTTCTAGGCCCCAGGCCAGGGTGTTGAGCAATGTTTTCATTTCTCTGAGAGCTTCTGCCAATGAGAAGAAAACTGATGAGTGACCTGTGAATGCTGCTTACATTCTGGGTGACTCACAGTTTATGGTATTCTGGGGGAAAAATCATGTTGATCAGAGGGGTAGGACAGCCACGTGGGGTACTGGGCAGAAAGTTTGGTGAGAGGCCATCCAGTGCCTCAGTAAGACGGCCTCTCTTGCTAAGCACTCACTGCCCAGGCCTTTCAGCCAATGCCAAGTCAGAGACCCCAGGCAAGCCACATAAGGCCCATTGCTTCCTCAGGCTCCCGTCTTCTGTTGGAAGGTTCTTTCATAGTTGATACGGCTTCTCTTTCTCAAGAAAGTCATAAATCCAAATGTCCTGCCCTTTTCCTTTCTATTGTAATTAAAACATTAATTTCTGGTTACAAAAATAATACACGAATACATTTATCTTCAGAAACAATAAAATAGGGGCATGTGGGTGGCTCTCAGTTAAGTGGTTAAGTGTCTGACTCTTTGATTTCAGCTCAGGTTGTGATCTTAGGAGGTCATGAGATAAACCCCAGAGCTCCGCCTTGGGTCGGGTACTGGGTATGGAGCCTGCTTAAGATTCTCTCCCTCCCTCTTCCTCTGCTCCCCCACCCCACCTCCACATACATGTTCTCTCTTTCTCTAAGGAAAAAAAAAAAAAAGGAAAAAAAACCCACAGTAAAATGAAGCTAAACTCCCTTTTACCTCCACACTTGGCCCTTTACCTCATCTTCAGAGATAGCTTGTTTTTTTTTTTTTTTTTTTTAATAACTTCTGATAAACATTTGGGATGTAGCCTTATGATCTGTTTTAAAAAATCTTACAAACAATGTGTGGTTGTCTTAGTTTGGGCAGCTATAGTGGTATACCAGAGACTTGGTATAAGAAAATTTTCACAGTTCCAGAGGCTGGGAAGTCCAAGGGGGCAAGGCACCAACAGATTTGGTGAAGGCCTGTTTCTTGGTTCAGAGAAAGCTATCTTCTTGCTGTGTCCTTACAAGGTGGAAGGGGTAGGAAGATTTCGGGGTTCTCTTTTATAAGGGCACTCATTCCATTTATGAGGGCTCTGCCCTCATGACCAAATTATCTCTCAAAGGCCCTACCTCCAAATACCATCATGTTGGGCATTAGGTTTCAACACATGAATTTAGAATTTGTCTATAGCAGTGTTGATAAGAAAAAAATGGTATTTATGTCTGTGTTTTAACATTTTATTTTGAAAATAATTTTAGATTTACAGAAGAGTTGCAAAGTGTCTTACCATTTTATTTTGAAATAATTTTAGATAGAAGAATTGCAAAAATAGTAACAGGGGCACCTGGGTGGCTCAGTCATTAAGCATCTGCCTTAGGCTCAGGTCATGATCCCAGGGTCCTGGGATTGAGCTCTCTGTTCAGTGGGGAGCCTGCTTCTCCCTCTTCCACTCCCCTGCTTGTGTTCCCTCTCTCACTGTCTCTCTGTCAAATAGATAAAATCTTAAAAAAAAAAAAAGTCACAGAAAGTTCCAGTATACCCTTACTCAGCCTCTCCTAATGTTAATGGGTTCCATGACTCTGGTTCAATGATCAAAACTAAGAAATTAACACTGGTGCAATGTACTGTTAATTAAACTATAAACTTTATTAGAACTTCACCAGTTTTTCCACTAATGTGCTTTAACTGTTCCAGGATCCCATCCGGGATCTCTGTTGCATTTAGTTGTCTTGTCCCTTTAGTCTCCTCCAATCTATGTTTTCCTTGGCTTTCATGACCTTAACACTTTTTTTTTTTTTTTGAAGCCTTCCAGTTCTTTTTTAAAAATAGTCTACTTATTGGGGCGCCTGGGTGGCTCAGTGGGTTAAGCCACTGCCTTCAGCTCAGGTCATGATCTCAGGGTCCTGGGATCGAGCCCTGCATCGGGCTCTCTGCTCAACAGGAGCCTGCTTCCTCCTCTCTCTCTGCCTGCCTCTCTGCCTGCTTGTGATCTCTCTCTGTCAAATAAATAAATAAAATCTTTAAAAAAAAAATAGTCTACTTATTTATTTATTTTTAAGTAATCTCTACACCCAACATGAAACTCAAACTCATGACCCCAAGATCAAGAGTCACATGCTCTCCCAACTGAGCCAGCCAAGTGCCCTGACCGTAACACTTTTGAAGAGTCCAGGTCAGGTATTTTATAGAATAGCCCTTAATTTGGGTTTGTCTGAAGTTAAGCATTTTGAGGAAGATTTAAAAAAATATATCAAATATATATATATATATATATATATATATATATATATAATTTGCATGTTATATATTATACTGCAACTTGGGTTTTATATTCAACTATATTGTGTATTTTTTTAAGCGAGAGGGAGCAAGTGAGGGGGGGGCAAAGGGAGGAGGGGGAGAGAGAGAATCTTAAGCAGGCACCACACCCAGCATGGAGCCTGAGGCAGGGCTCAATCTTAGGACCCTGAGATCAGGACCTGAGCCAAGGCACCTAACCAACTGAGCCACCTTGGTGCCCCTCAACTATATGACTATAGATCAAGGTCACTTCTCTTAAATTCTCTACAGAATTGCATTATGAGTATTGTGCATTTTATTTTTATTTTATTTTATTTTTTAATTAATTTATTTGACAGAGATCACAAGGAGGCAGAGAGAGAGAGAGAGAGGAGGAAGCAGGCTCCCTGCCAAGCAGAGAGCCCGATTTGAGACTCGATTCCAGGACCCCGGGACCACGCCCGAGCCGAAGGCAGAGGCTTCAACCGACTGAGCCACCCAGGCGCCCCTAGTATTGTGCATTTTATTTAGCTATTCCTCTATTGGTGGGTACTTAGGCTGATTCCAAAATTTATTAACAACATCATAGGAATTATCCTTATACACATCTCCATATGCACATGGAGTACGGTAGATAACTAGAAGTGGCATTGCTGAAACATGGATTTATTTATTTATTTATTTTTTAAAAAGATTTTATTTATTTATTTGACAGACAGAGATCACAAGTAGGCAGAGAGGCAGGCAGAGAGAGAGGAAGGGAAGCAGGCTCCCCGCTGAGCAGAGAACCTGATGTGGGGCTTGATCCCAGGACCCTGAGATCATGACCCGAGCTGAAGGCAGTGGCTTAACTCACTAAGCCACCCAGGCGCCCTGAAACATGGATTTAATAGATGTTGTCCTATTGCCCTCTAAAGTGGCTGTGCCAATTTATATTCTTTTGATATTATGAAGATTGAAAATTGTTGCCAATCTCAGTTTCAATTTCCATTTCCCTGGTTACTACTGAGATTGCATTTTTTTGTGTGCTTATTAGCAATTTGTGATTAGCAATTTCCTTCTGTGAACTGCCAATTTATATTATTTGCCCATTTTTCCAGTAGATTTTTTTCTTATTGATTCGTTAAGAGTCATTTGTATGTTCTAGATACAAATCTTTATTTTATGTATTACAGATATTTTCTCTTCATCTGTTATTTCTTAAGTTTGTTTCCCAATTTTTTTTAAAAGGTTTTATTTATTTGCGACAGAGAAAGAGGGAGAGAGAGAGAGAGAGAGAGGGTATAAGCATGGAGGAGGGTAAGAGGGAGAGGGAAAAGCATTCTTCTGGATAAGCAGGGATCCCAATGCTGAGCTCAATTCCAGGACCCTGAGATCATGACCCCAGCTGAATGAGGTCCTTGTTCCCCAATTTTTAAAGTTATTACATGTCCCTGATTTTTTTTTTTAAGCATTTTATTTATTTGACAGAGATCACAAGTAGGCAGAGAGAGGGAGGAAGCAGGCTCTCTGCCGAGCAGAGAGCCCGATGCGGGGCTCGATCCCACGACGCAAGGATCATGACCTGAGTCGAAGGTAGAGGCCTCAACCCACTGAGCCACCCAGTCACCCCACATGTCCCTGATTTTTAAAATTATTTTTTCTGACTTTTGGAGACAAAGTTCTTGATCATACAAGTAGTATAAATGATGTAGGAAATCTGGGAAATTTATGGAAAAGTATAAAGAAGAAAAGTACCCCGAATCTTATCACTGAGGAAAAAAAAAAAACACACTACTAAAATATTCAATTACAGGGGCACCTGGGTGGCTCAGTGTGTCCCTTCTGAACCAGAAGGGGTCTAAGGTCTGTTTGACCAGGAGATAAAGGATGCCCCATCCCCTTAAGGGAAAGTGTTGGTGTATAGACCAAGGCAAGGTGGTGGGGTCTTGCTGAGGGGCCGGGCACAAAGCCAAGGGATGGAGACCTAAAAGACATGTAAGGGTTGTCAATGTGCCTTATCCCACAGCTCGTCAACAACTGCTGTTCTGTGGTTTGTGGATCTCGAAAACCCGCGCTAGGGCCCCAGGCTCACGCCCGCAACCGGGCTCCTCTCCGTCTGTGCTGCTAGGGAGCGTCGCGGCGGCCTGATTCTTCGGCGGACCTGCGGAAAGAACAGCACGCCGGTCCCTGGCCGGGCGCGAGCTGGGGGCGGCGCCGGGGCGGCGCGGGCGGGGAAGGAGCGCGCCCCGGCGGCTGCTGCAGTTGCGCGCTGGGATTGCTGCCGAGCGGCGGAGCGGTGAGTGCGGCGGGACTCGCAGGAGGGCGGGGAGGGAGCGGGCGAGCGAGCGAGCGAGGGAGGCAGGGAGGGTGCGCGGCAGAGCGCGCGTGTTGGGACCGGGAGACGCCGCCTGCCCCTGCCCCTGCCCCGGCCCCACCCTGTCCGCTGCGCCCCTCCGGCCCCTCTCCTACATCCCAGCGCCCGCGGACTCGACACCCTCGTGCCCGCATGTCGCCCCCCACCCCCACACCTATCCCCAGCTGGCCCCCGCCTCAGAGCGGCCCAAGCCTCCGCGGCGACGCCCCCAGCCCCACGTCACGCTCGCGCCATTGTTTCCCTGCGGTCGGCTCGCGGGGACCCGCCTTACCCTCGGAGCGCGGCCCTTGGTCTCCTCAGAGCCAGCCTCGCCGTGTCCGGTCCCCCCGCTTTCTAACGCCCGTGGCAGCCCCCATCTCGCCTCAGGCGGATCCTTCTTTACTGAGTTCTGGTTATTTTTTTCCGGAGGACGCCGCCTTCCTCCCGTAGGCAGCGGAGGCCAGCCTTCCCGCCCCCCTTCCAGGGCTTCACCCCCTGCGCGTTCCGGGTGGCCCCCAAGGAACTAGCGGACCGCCGTGGTAGGCGAGGTTGACAACGTTTTCGCCAGAGCCGCAGGAAATTGCCGGCCTGATAGCCCACATTCCAGTTTTGTCGTTTGCAGCACTTCCTGGAAAGCTCACGTTGAATCGCGAGCCGCCACAAAAACCAAGCTCGTTATTTCCAAACGGCTCCCAAGTCAGGCGTCAGCTGTCTGGGGGCGGACCGTTGCTTTCTTTCTTTTTTTTTTTTTTTTCCTTGGGGTACCCTGAAGCTGGTGAAAGCCCAGGGGAGATGCAGATCTGAGGCCTGAACCATTCGTTGTAAGCAAAACGTTTGGAGGTTTTGACGCCAGTAGGCCTCAGCTTTTAAAAGCAGTAGGTAGAGCTGTGGGCGTTGGGGCCGTTATGTTTGAGGGATGTAAGTACAGTGATCCGCAGTGACTGGTCACCTTTATAGGGTTGTGTGCGTGCGTGCGCCCATGCGTGTCCGGGTGCAGACAGGTTCTTGATTGAACTGTGTTTGTTTTGTAATGTCTGCACACTGTTCATTTTGCCTCTTAAGACAGAGGATGCAAATTCTAAGTGTAACCCGCAAGGAAGAATGTTGAAACAGTACCGTTTACCGTGGAGACTTAATGTGATTGAGGTCCTTTTAGATAGTTACCACGACACTCTTTTTTTTTTCTTAATTTAATTTTATTTTAGTAGGCTTCACGCCCAAATGTGGGGCTCCAACTCACAACCCTGAGATCAAGAGTCGCCTGCTCTACCACTGAGCCATCTAGGAGTCCCTACTGGGACACTTCTCAACCATGGTTAGAATTTATCCAGATGAAGACCTTCAGGCCTCTGCATGATGGGTTGATGCTAGCACAGACAGACTACTTCTGAAATGCATTTCTTTTGCAATATAAGCTGCTACAATTTCAGCTCTTATAGGTTGTTGCTGCATTTAGATTTAAGAATTTAGTAATCAGTCTGTAAAAAGAGGGCTGAAGGAGAGTTCTGCAAGGTTTCTTCCAGTTTTTTGGTTTGTTTTTGAGGATTTTATTTGTCAGCACACAAGCTGGGGAAGAGGCAGACAGAGAAGTAGGCTTCCCGCTGAGCAAGGACCTTGATGGAGGGCTTGTACCCAGGACCCTGGGATCAAAATTTGAGCTGAAGGCAGACGGTTAAGGGACTGAGCCACCCAGGCACCCGGGTTTCCTTCAGTACTAAGACTTGATTCCATGCTATGAAAATTTACAATTAGCTACAGGTTTCCAAAAGTTTATTATTGTAGGAAGATTTGTATAGAGAGATATTTACTGATGGTATCTGCAAGCCTTAGTACTGACAATAGGTGTTATCTTCCTAAAGAAAGCCAGATTACAGTGGAATGTTAGGGATGTTCATTCATCTGTCTCTAGGCTGTTTTTGCTGTTTTGGTTTTTTTTTAAAGATTTTATTTATTTACTTGACACAGAGAGAGAGGGATCACAAGTCAGCAGAGAGGCAGGCAGAGAGAGAGGGGGAAGCAGGTTCCTCGTTGAGCAGAGAGCCCAATGCGGGGCGCGATTCCAGGACTCTGAGATCGCGACCTGAGTCGAAGGCAGAGGCTTAACCCACTGAGCCACGCAGGCGCCCCTGTTTTTGCTGTTTTATGGAAGAAAGCACTTAAGCCTTTTTTTTCTTTAAATACATCTTTTCATTGCTTAGCTTTTTTAACAAAAAGCTTAATTCAATGAAATAGCAGAACAAGAAACAGACCCCAACTTTATCATATGATGTATAACTATGTTCTTTTTCCAATTCCTATTTAAACATAGTTTTTATGTAGTTTCAGTTGTTATGTACATATTTTTAATTTTCATTTACCCACTTTCTGGGATGTCCATGTATCTGAAGAATTCATCTACTTTTCATTTGTAAAGGCTCTGTAACATACTTTTATACCCAGTAGTCAACAGTGCCTGGCATACAGGCTCTCAGTAAATTTTTGTTGAAGGAATGTAGTATTTTGAGCCACTTAGACAACATTTGGGAACACAAAATGTTAAATATCACAGGGCATATGCTCAGTGACATTTGAGCAATAAAGCCCTTCAATACTTTGAGCCAGGAGATAGCATCACATATGTTTGAGAGTGTGGTTTTTGGAGTCTGGGTTTGAGATCTGGCTTGCAACTTAACCAGCCATGCAACCTTGGAGAAGGTGGAAGACCTCACTTAGTTTCTCTCACCACGAAAAAGGGGGAAATAGAACAAATTTCACAGGGTTGTATGGATTAAGTGGGATAATTCCATTGAAGCAATACTGGCATACATTAAATTATAAATGTTAACTCTCACTGTTTTTTGTTCAGAGTGGGGATGTTACTGCATGTTGGTGGGATCAGAAAAGCATGAGTGATGATGACAGGAGAGTAAGAAGATGCGAAGGTGGATATATTGAGGGTTTAATGAATAGGTTGCTCTCACTAAAAGTATGTGGTAGAGTAATAGTATGAGATAAAGCTAGAGATAGAATTTCTGATAAGCTGCTTACAAGATAGGCTATGTAGATTTTTGGAAGATACAGCACAATGAAGTAAGATAATCTTTTTTTTTTTAAATAAAGGTTTTATTATTCTGAGAGAGAGCGAGAAAGAGCAAGAGCAAGAGTCAGAGCAAGAGCAAGAGTCGGGGAGAGGGAAAAGCAGGCTCCCTAATGAGCAGGGAGCCCGGCTTTGGGGCTCTATCCCAGGATCCCGCGATCATGTCCTGAGTTGAACGCAGATGCTTAACCCACTGAGCCATCCAGGTGCCCCAAGATAATTTTTTGTAATGAGTGGTAGGTGTTTGTTTTGTTTTTTAGGTTCAGACCTAAAAAAGTTCTCTCCTTTAGAGATTTATTTATTCTAGAGAGAGGAAAAAAAAATATGTGAGTGGAGGGAGGGGCAGAGGGAGAAGGTGAGAGAATCTTGAGTAGACTCCCTGCGGAGCTGGTAGCCCAATTCAGGGCTCAGTCTCACAACCCTGAGATCATGACCTGAAGCCAAGAGTCAGATGGTCAATGGACAGAGTAACCCAGATGCCCCTAAAAGTTCTTTGCTTTAAGGATGTTGATTGCAAATTGTTATAGATTACTGAATTTCTTGTCACCTGACACAGTAAATCTTATATGACTTATTATTATTTGAAATTTGGTTGTGTTCTGTGATTGGTTACCAGAGTTTGCAGTGGCTTTTTGTTCGTTTTTTTCAAAAAAGATTTTAGTTATTTATTTGACAGAGTGTGTGTGTGTGCATGCGCAAGCGGGGGGAGGGGGCAGAGGGGGAAGCAGACTCCCCACTGAATAGGGAGTTCGAGGTGGAACTCTGGGATCATGACCTGAGGTGAAGGCAGACACTTAACCGCTGAGCCACCCATGTGTGTCTCATTCTTTCTTAAATGGAAAACAACTTTAGCAATAAGCCAATGAAAAACAATAAAAATAGCAAAATTGTCAGCAGAGCAGCAAAACTGCCCTCTTTTTAGGTGGAATACAGAATCAGAAGGATTAAATTGACTTGGAGAGTGTTGAACTATTAGTTCCTACCGTGTGTGTGTGTGTGTGTGTGTGTGTGTGTGTGTGTGTGTGTGTGTGTGGTTTTTTTTTTTTTTTTTAAGTAGGCTCCATGCCCAGCTTGGAGCCCAGCATGGGGCTTGAACGCACAACCCTGAGATCAGGATTTGAGCTGAGATTGAGTTGGACGCTTCACTGACTGAGCCACCCAGCCACCACTAGTACATATACTCCTCTTATTTAATACATTATACATATGATTTTGCAACTTTTTTTTTTAGTTAAACATTTTAAAAAAGATTTTATTGGAGAGTGAGTGAGCAAGAGAGAGCATGGAGCGGGAGGGATAGAGGGAGAGGCAGACTCCTGGGGAGCCCAACTCGGGGCTCAATCCCAGGACCCTGAGATCATGACGTGAGCCGAAATCAAGGGTCAAGTATTTAACTGACTGAGCCACCTGGGCACCCCAGCGTTGTTTATAATATGTGTCCATGTTGATAAGACTTTAGTTCATTAATTTTAATCGCTCTGTAGTGTTGCATTATATGAATAAACCAGTTTGTTTATGGAGTTTTAGGTGTTTCTGATTTTTTTTTAAAAGATGTTATTTTTATTTATTTGATAGAGAAAGAGAGATCACAAGTAGGTAGAGAGGCAGGCAGAGAGAGAGGGGGAAGCAGGCTCCCTGCTGAGCAGAGAGCCCAATGTGGGGCTCGATCCCAGAACCCTAGGATTATGACCTGAGCTGAAGGCAGAGGCTCAACCCACTGAGCCACCCAGGCGCCCCCCTCCTTTTTAAAAGATTTTATTTTTAGTCTGTTTTTTTTTTTTGTTTTTTTTTTTTGCTATTAACGAAGCATAAACATTCTTGGATTTTCATGTTGTTTACATATGTGAGACAGTTCTTAACTTACGAA